GCAAGGTTTTAGAGGCAAGGCAGGGAGAGATCAATAAAAGCCTTTGCACCACATACATGAATAAGGATACTTACTGAGCTCATGGCAAGGACAAGCAGAAAGGTGAATCAGAGGTGGCTGCTGTGCCCTAGGAAACAACAGCCCTATTTTTTCTTGGAGTTAGTTTAGGTACGTTCTCCTTTATGCCGTGTGGTGGCTCCAGCTGCAGCTTCCTCAGCATAAGTGTTTACTGTCTCACACCCAGCCTCGTTCAACAAGAGAGGAGGCACAATCCAGCCTGGCCTGAGCCATGAAATCCCTTCGTGCTGGAACACATGCTCTGGGCTTTGTGGCTACAAACATACCGAGCCTTGGCTTGAGAAATGAGCAGGGGCCAGCAGCAAGACTGAGCTGACGGGGTGAAATTAAGAGCATGGGAGAGAGAATGCTGGTGAGTTTGGAGGAGGGAGAATAAACTCAAATGTCTGCTGAAAGAATTCCAGCATCATCCATTACTGTCCAGAAGGCAGTCACAAAAAAGCAGAAGGGCAAGAACTACAGCCTTTTCTGTGGGATGCTTTGGCTTATTGTGGTTAGGAGGATCAAGGCTAGGTATCACACGCCTCCACTGAAGGGAGATGCCCTGGAATAAAGCAAGGAACAGGAATTTCTAGGCTAGGGAAAAGGCTGACCATGTTGAAACTGAGCACAGAAAAGAGAATTTGGCTGCGGGGTCTGACTGCAGGACTTCTAGCTACATGAGAGAACTCCAGGTCTATTATTTCTCTAATTTCCTTATGCCCCCAAGGAAGCTTTTGCTGGAAATTTGCTTCTATTTATGGGAGGACTGAAAGAATGAGGGCCAGACTGTGACTGAGCATCTGGCAATCAGAAATAGGGTTCAAAGGAGAGGAAACTGCTCAAGCAGGACCTGACAGTGCTATTCTGCACTGAAAATTGACCCCTGCAAGTGAAAGGCTGCTACTGCTAGTCATTCCACGTGGGTATTTCTGCAAAGTGACAGTTCAGGAAACTCTCTGCAGCCTGGCTCCAGTAAGCTGACCTTGCTCTCTGAAAATTGTCATCACCACAGACTCTTGTGGCCTAGAGAACTCCTAAGTGATATTTTGTGCAGTATCACCTGCTTCAGATTCTCTAATCCATGACAAGGATGGATCTGGCTACCAACAAAAACAACCACAAAACCACTACTGAACATCTTTGCTCAGAGGAGACATTTCTTCCTAACAAGTACTTTTATTTTTCTATGCTGTTTTTGGTCACCTGAAATAAAATTGCTTATGATCACCATGAAAAACTTTACTAAAACAGGTTTCAAATCTTGCCTCTCTTGAGAAAGGCAAGTTTTCTTTGGCTTTGGAAAAATCTGCAGTCTTAAGCTTTTAAAGATTCCTGACAGAAATTCCCTTAAAGATGTACAGGTAGGGAGCAGGTATGTATTTCCCACACAGCACAGGCAGTTCTCCACTAGAGCAAACAATCTACTTCAGTTCCTGTGATCTCTATTAATTTGGTTACTGTTGCAAACAACTTGGACAGTTTACAGCATCAATTCTGTGAGAAAAGAGAAGCTGGTTTAATGTGTTTGTAATTTGGTCAGAAAATAATCCAAAATAGCTGGGGTGGCTTGTCCGTGAGAGACAGGATTAATAAGCAAGCAGTGACCAACTACTCTGCCCACATTCAGGCTTTCTACCTTATTAAATAATACAGACATTTTGATTGTTCCAGAAATGCTGATGAAATGGATTCAGGTAACGGAGAGCCTGTGACTTTTTTTGGGTTTGGTTGGTATCATGACACTGAGAAAGAAGCTGATCACAGTTTTCTATGTAGAAAAACAGCAGATGTTTACCTTTCATGTTTATCCCCACCTACAAGAGATAATTTTCCATAAATACTCTGTGCCATTAGGTATGTATAACAAAAATGTTCTGCATATGTGAGCCCAGTGCTAAAACAACAAGGTACAGTGACAAGCACTGTTACTCATTATTTCCAGCAGCATTCCTGCAAAGCACAGTTTATCTGACAGTGCTGGAAGACTTAAGGCTTGCTTCTGGGAGGGAAGGGTGAGCACCAGGGCTGCTGTGCACATCTGGCTTGGGTTGGCTCCATCAGCTCTCACAGCAGACACTGCAAACCCCACAGAAGTGGCTGTTCTGCAGCACAGTAGCAGACCTGGAGTGTGCACTGGACTAGATCCTCAAGGGGTATAAATCAAAGGAACTGCACTGCACTCAGCCCATCTGCTGCTCTTTGTGTCACCTCTGCTGTGGGAATACTACAGAGCACAATCACCCTCCAAAGCTTTCTTAGAGACAGTCACAAACATGCCACATACCTCTGGCCTATCCAGTAGCTACCCCCTGTGCTCTCAGGGATTCTTGTCCCTTCCCTCTGCCCTTTCTTCCCTCCCTTCTTCCCCCTAAAACTGGCATCACTCAGCATTTTGGCCATGAGACCGATTCTCCAAACTGAAAACATCAAAGCATATCTCTGGTTAGATCTCATCCCAACCCTGTGAGTCTGTTGACTTGGAAAGTGAATAACTAATAAGGCAGCATGCCATTGTTTTCTGTTTATGATAATGGAAATAAATTGTTGGCTCCGACTCAGGCACTGATTGTTCCTTTGATATCACTGCCAGGAAGCAAAATAAAATGGATTTTTTAAAATCACCTTTCACAGAATGCCACAGGCATTTGAAAGATGAGCCTTTTTCCATGTCAAAGGCTCTACCAGAAGTGCCAAATACAGGAGAAGAAAAAAAAAATCAAATCCTTCACTATTCAAAAAGCCAAGAAAAACAAGAGCACAAGAGAGAGTGTGAGAACAGGATTGCCTGGGCAGCAGGATGGCCTGGGTGGGCTGGCACACCACAGATGTCATGAGAGTGCTCATGAGGGAGCAGCAGAGCTGCCTCCATGGTGAGAAGCACTTCCTGAAGAATATAGAACATATCCTATCCTTTGCATTTTACCCCCCAATAAAAAAAGCACAGGTAGGCTGGATGAATTACTCTGTCTGCCTGGCAGCTTTAAATTAATAAGAGACTTTAGGAACCAAAAATGCAGAGGAGTGCATTACCCCAGAACATGAATCACTCACAAATCTTGCTCATATGTTTCCTTTGTGGTTTGGGGGTTTTCTTAAGCTATAGGAAGCAGCAATTTCATTGCACCTCCAATCCTTCAGAGTGTTTTGATGCTTTCCCCATGGAATTTTAGGGCCAGGCTCTCAGGCATTTGAATTTTTCTCAGGGTGCTACCACTCCTACTTACTGGCACCACTGTGACACACACAGGGAGGAGGCTCCTCCTCAGAGTTTGGAGCTGGATGCAGATCTTACACGATCAGAGCATGGTGCTGTTTGGTTTTCATGACATGCTGCAGTTTGATTTGGCTCGGAGTGGAGGATGGAGTAGAGAGCCAGATTCAGATCTCAGGCCAAATGTGGATTTTGTGTTACAGCTACCAAACTTCATCATAGTTTGGCAAAGTTGTGCTCTCACCTGCTCACATCATGTGGAGAACACCTGTGATCTGCTTGATCTGCTGGTAAGGAGCTTGCTCGTGCTGTGAGAAGCTCCCACAAGGAAAGCCAGGCTACGAGAGCCTGTTTTGGCTGGCCCCAGCTGCTGCAGGTGGACTGGGAGTGCAGAGACACTGGAACATGCTCAGAGGAAAAACTGTGGTGTAAAGAGAAGCTGTCAGGAGGAGAGTGCAGCTTTGGGCCTTTCCTCAGTGCCATGATTCTCTGAACCTTTTCATTTCTACCACTGGGACTCAGATGCACAACAGCAGCAGCATGACCTGAGAGTAGACCAGGAGAAATAAGAACTATATCACTTTCTACAAAAGTCTGCTTTTGAAATAATCCCCCACACTGCCTCCAGCCTGCATTCTTGGATATAGTTTTTGGAAGAACATGCTAGAGGATCCTTTTTCCAAAGAACAAACCAATACCACAAGTTAAATGGCAAAAGATCTGTGTGACAAACAGTGTGGCCTGCTAAATATTAAGGCTTTTTGACATGGAATTTAGGCCCATGCTTGGCTCAAAGTGCATCCTTATTCTGCAAAGCATTTAAGCAAATTATTACCTTCAAGGCTGTAGCACAGAATGGGGCAATTTAACTGGGACTTTATGAAGTCCTTATGACATAGGTGCTGTTCTGAACATAAAGGTTTGAAGGGCTCCCACCAAAGTTCCCTGGAATAAAGTAAAGACTTGCGATTGGCTCCAGCAAATATTCAACCAGGTCCTTATTTTTATACTTATTACTGGCTTATAACAGGATATTTAGAAAGAAAAAAGAAGGAACTTTTTTCCTCCAAATAATACAATCTACTCTATTTCTGAAAATTAAGGGTGTGATTACTGACCCATAAGTACTTTATGATCACACTTTGGTTTGAACTTTTATGAGTGTATGTAGGTTTACTAACTCTAGCACTGCCCAGTAATTTATTTCCCAGGTGGGCTACGAAAGTCATCTGGAAGAAGGAAAACAGTGTCTAAGGGCTTGCTGTGCAAAGAGGTGATTGTACTAGCTGGATTTGTGCATGGATGTTTTTGGAAACAGTTTTCAGAGGAGAAACTAAGTTTTCTAATAAAATAAAACCTTTTTCTTTAACCCAGAAGCAGTGCTTCAAATTCTTACTTATTTCATTGAAAGATTGATGATTGCTATCTGCTGCTATTTTGAGGACAGAAACTGGGTTCAAAGGCAGCAATAAGCTATTCAGACCCTAAAAAGCTGCTGTGACAGAAGTGTGAAGAAGGTCTGAATGTCTTTGCAAACCTGTCACCCTTCTTTCCCCAGAAGACAATGAACCTCAGGGGCTTTGCACAAACTTTCATGCACTGAACAGCATGACCCAGAGTTGTGGTACCTCCAAGGGCAGCACAAAAGTTTCAGGTGCCAAAAGACAGATTCTTTTTGCTCAGTGACTGCCCCTTTGCTGGTGAGAAAAGCTGAGTCAATGATGCTCACCTGAGGCAGCTGCAGATGCTGTGGCACCCTGCAGGTTGGCTCCTTAGTGCTGTTTGAATCCCAGAGCACTGTGGTTTGGCTGACTGTGGCTGGCACACCTGCAAATCACTTGATGAACATTGATCTTCCTTGGCTGAAGAGACAGAAATTAAACATCAGACCTGAAAATGCAGTCAGCATTGATGTCCTGGCACACGAACTACTAGGGATATTTACAGGTCCCTGGAGACCAAGGAAGTATTACACTGTGCCATGCAAACCCAATATTAAATTCTGCTTCTGCAGCTGATGTGGCCTCTACTCATTCCACCCAGCAAGTTCCTGGGAATACTTCAATGCAAAGAAAAATCTACTTTGTTCTCTTAAAAAATCTCTCTTTGGCAATATCTATGAAGCTTCAGGAAAGTGATTCCCAAGGAATCACCTCCTGGACACAGCACAGTTCAGATTGCTGCGACACTCATGCTAAAGTTGTCTTGGTTTAACTTGAAAGCAGCACCTCCCTGAGGACTCCTCAGTTCTGGAATGAGCGATGTATTTCTGTGTTCTGTGAGAGACTGGATTATTTTTAATCTTCTGGACATATTACAAAGATCAATTTATAGTCTCACAGAGACGGTAAGGATAAGAGTCTGAGGTCAGACAAAATTGGGGTTGGATGTTGTTGATTAGTGACATTATTTCTGATTTTTCAAGGCAACTTTGACTTCCTTGCATTGCTTCATTTCAGAAAAAAAAAAAAAAAAAGTGGTGGGAACTGGCTCAGATGCATGGACTGCAATGCAGCCATGTTCTCTTAGCCCACCAGAGAGTTTGATCCATACATCACAAGTTGTGCAAGTCCTCACAGCTCTCGACAAGGTACTGTGCAGTAAAAAAATATAGAAGATAATAACAGCAAAGCTTTCTTTTACTCTCTCTGCCACCATTTTATATATACCATAATGAATTATGCCAATGACTTTGTTCCCAAATTCAACATAGAAGAGCACCTTGCTTTGTAATTTTGAGACATACAGCTTGATTAGCATTTCCAGTATTATGCAAGGCTTCAAATGAAAATATCAAGGACAGAGTTTGAGCAAAACTACAGTATGTACTTCCCATAAGATTCAGCAATGTATATTTTATAATTCTCTCTTCATTCATGTTGCAGACCCAGAAGTTCAAACACGTACACAGAATACTGCACAGACATGCAGACTGAATCTGTATACGCTTCAGAAGTAATAAAAAACAGCAAGCAGAATTTTTTCCAGTTCTACTTAAATCTCACTTGAACCTTAATTAGTAAATTGCAATTCCTGACACTTAGAGGGACCCCAGTACAATTGTTTCCTTAATTTTGGCAGATGAAAAACAAGAATCACAGAGTTTTGTGTTATTCCAAACTAAAACAGCCAAATGGCCTAGGTTTTCCCAAAGTTTCACAAACACTTCTGCAAGAAAGCATGGCAGGGCATTTCTACAAAATGCTGGTAATGCCCAGAGTTCCATACTCCTGAATTTAAAGCTTTGCCCCTTTTTTTTTTTTTTTTTTTAAATTTAAACTTCCACCAAGATTGTTTTCATATCTTTGTAAGCATTGCCAGGACTTTTTAGGCTGGATCACTTTCCAGGAATTACAACAAAGAATTTCAACTTTTGGAGTAGAGAAAGTGCTTTTCCTTTGGGAAATGTCATTCCTGGAAATTCACCAGTGCTTCTTCCTGGCAAGTCCTGAGGAATCAATCACAGGAAGGGCTGAGATGAGGTGACCCTGTCCAGATGGCAGGTCCCTCAGTTGCCATTTCAAACCACATGGGTCCCCTTCAGTTCTTAGGGAGGCCTCAGTGACACAAAGAGACATTTAGAAGTGTGGCAAGTCACCAGGTTAAGCTTGAATTTCTGTGGGGATTTACTCTCAAGTTCTCCAGCTCCACCTTTGCCTGTTTCTGTCCCCGTGGAGATGCCCAAAGTCTGCGGTGGTGGGACAAGGCTGTGCCCTGCTTGGCCTGTGAACCCAGGCACTGTGAGCAGGAGGGGTGGCAGGGTCATTTCCAAAGCTTGCTCCTGATCTGAGCTATGAACCAGAATGGAAATGCTCATGGAGGTGCACCCTGAGTGGGAATATCTGCTATCATTATGCAACAGATGCTAAAGCCTTGAGAAACATATAAAAAGAATAAAAGTGACACTTTCAAAACCAGGGTCAGAAGCAGGAGCCAAACCAGGATTTGCTCACTTCCTCACCATTGTTTTAGCTAGACTACTGCTACTTCTTGAATTTAATCTTAAATCTTGAAAATTCATAGCCTTTCCTGGACATCTTTTATGCCATGGTTAACAGTCTGTAATGTTAAAGGTTTGACTATTAAAATAAACATTCCAGCTACAGACATCAATGAACTGGTGAAGTTCCTATTCCCTGAACATCTGCAAAGCTTTCATTTTCCCTCTCCAACAAAACCAAGCTGACCTTCTCTTCCCCTTCCCCTGATACTTCTCTTCCTAAGGCCCATGGGGCTTTCTTGGCCTGTCCTAGCCTCAAATCAGAAGGCAAGATGGATTTTCAATATGAGCTTTATGGTTAGTAGTACCCCCTTCCCACTAAAATACTGAGGATTTCTGTAGTAATTCTACTTCTAGCATTGTCAAAAGTATACAAAAGCCAGGCTTGTTACACATGAACACAATTTAAAGGGATAAAAATCCAGAAGGGAGTTTTTTTTCATAAAGACAGAGTTTTACTGAGCTATGGTATGGTCCAGAATTGGACTCTCCTATAAACTTGTGTGTCTTCTCTTGTGGAGGTCAGTATGTTCTTCAGACACTGAAAACAACAGCTCTTACTCTCTTACCCCATCTCTAATAGCTCAAATATTGCCAGTGGCATTTCAATTCCCTCAATAACAGCTCTGACAAGAGCACTCAGAGGCTTTACTTCAGCTCAGCCCAGAGATCTTTCTTGAAATAATCTTTTACACATTTTACAGACTGGGCATTTCAGTCATCTGTGTCTGCATCAAAGAAGTGCAGACCTCTGTTCATCTAACGAGAGTGAAAACCCCACTACCCCAAGCTGACATGTCACCTCAGAATCTTGCTGGTCTCTTTCAGAAGGATCATTCTTTGCCCAGAGCATCAGAAAAGTAATTATGGCTTAAGAGTCCAGAGATGATGGCTGGAGCCTATCCAAAATTAGGCCCTGTAGTCCCTGTAGTCCAGCTGCTCCTGGTTGGGTCCCCAGGGTGGACCCTGGACCTACTTCATGCACTTGCCATGTTTGCAGCAGCTGTGCTCGTGCACTGCCTGCATGGGGGTCCCTTTTCCTTGGCCTCATCTGGGGACAGCCCTACTCCTGCTGCTCCTTGGCAGCAAGGCTCAGGCATACCCTTGAGAAAGGCTGTTTTGGATTCTGGCTGGAAAAACAATCCTTTTTCCTTCAGTCCTGGCAGTGGTGTTGCTCTCCATTGCTCTGTGCTGCAGGGATGACAGCTCTGTAATTTTCTTATAAAGCAAACACGCTCCATTTTCCCCCTGACAGCAGGCAATCCAGGGCCAGCAAATTACTGGCAAATGCCTCCTATATTCATCTCTTCAAATGTTTTGGCTTTTCTTTACTTTTAATTTGCCTGGAGGCAGACATTTGAGATAACAGCTGTTATGGTGATATTATCAGTCAATCTGCATGTCACAGAATGCCAGGAAAATGCCTGTGGAGAGGACCTCTTGGGTTTTTTGGTTTTAACTGCTCTGAGGCAAATCCACTGCTTTGTCACCGCTCTGCTCAAAACATTAGAAGAGAACATAATGGGACTGGTTTCTACCATCTGATGATGAAGAAATGCCTTTTTTCTGCTGATAGAGCACAGGTTCCCTTCCTGCTTGTTGAGGATCTAGAGCAGTACTTTGACTGACTATGCCATATTTTTTTCTTGCTGCTGAGCAGTGTCAGAGCAGATCTGCCACCACCAACACCCCTATGATTCTCTGGTGATTTACCTGCTGCAGAATAACGGGGGAGACCCTAAGAAACCCCTTTAAAAAGGGATCTCTACCCTCCTGTGGAAGACTGCATAGCTTTCTTGGGTCCAGTTATAGTGTTTGCTGGGGAGGAAAGTTTCTTTGCTTCCTGAGGTGGAGGGCTCAGTGTCAAGAACCATCAACAAATAGGTCTGGAATTTCCTCTGGACAAAGCTGAGCCATCTGCAAGAGGGACAAAAAGATTTATCGGTTCTTTAGAGAAGATGCCATGACACCACCACGAAGGTGTTGTCTTGGGAATAATTGCTCTGCACTCTTTTTTTTCTTTCCACAGAAATACAAGATGACAACCCAATACTTTGTAGCTTTGGAAACAAACTGGGTTGTGCCCCTATTTGGTGCATTAATGACAATAAGCCAGTTTTTCCTGTTAGTTTGATGAAACCTGGCATGCTTTACACTAGACAAACTTATTCATTATGCTTTGATTGAAAACAATTTGTATCTGAAGATCTTGAACTACTTTACTGACATCAAACCTGTGGAAAGATAAATAGTTACACCTATGAAATGACCATGATTCCAAAGTAGCAATGGAATACAGGCATTTTGTGTGTCTGCAGTCCCAAAGGAACAGAAAATAAACATTTCTACTTGCATATTTAACTGCTTTCAAAATTTCTAATATCTCTTAATTATCTGGTAACAGCAGAGATTCCTCTTTCCATTTCCTTAACATTACAAAAAGCTGTTTTGTTGGAAATTAGGAGCCCAGTTCTACTCTGCACACCGCATCTCCTGACCAACCATGGGCAAAATATTCAGACTAGTGTGGTCTGTTTCCTCACTTGGAAAATGAGGAGATATCCTAAAAATAGGGTCAAGCATTCCAATATCACAGCAACAGAGCTCACACAGGCATCTGTGCAGTATAAGAAATGCATGTGAAAGAAAAAGGTGACTTGGAAGGGAAGCCTTGAACAGAGATCACAAAGGTTCCATCCAAGCAAACTGTTACCAAGTAAATCTTGTGGTTTGTTTCCCAAAGGTAGCTTTCTCAGCTTTGAAACACCTGTTCCCAAGTATTGCCAGGTTATTAAAAGAAGTTAGCATTTTTGTGGGCTTGGAAGATGCACAAAGTGGGTGTGTGAAATTTATTTTCACCCATGGCACTCAGG